GTTAAAATCAAATTTCAGTTTAAAATATTTTATAAATCACACTAATATGTATTTATAATTATTTTTTAAAGCTAATTTTGAGCGTTGGTGTCGATTAAGAGGAAATTTGCTATTTTATCTTAAGTCTCATGATCAGCTATCAGATTTACTTGGTGTGATTGTTCTACAAAATTATTCTGTACAATTAGACGAGTCTCCACCAGATGGACCATTTGGTTTTCAAATAGGTAAAATTTTCCAAGTTAACATTTTCATTCATTSAAGAACTTAATAATTAATAAAAACTAATAATTTAATTTAATAGTATTTGAAAATGGCATTTGTCAACAAATTGCTGCGCATACAGAGCCAGAAAGAGATTCTTGGTTAGAAGMTATTAAGCAAGCAAGCTACGAAATCATGCGGGCTAGACTGTTGGATTTAAGAAGACAATTAGAAGTAAAGCGAAAACCTGATTTAGATATTAATATGTGGAGATTACGCAAAAATCAGCCTAAACTAGGTATAATTACCTATTATGCATTTCCTATCTATTTATATATATTTTTTAATTCCATATTTTATATTATATGTCCATGTTTTAGATCTTACAAAAGTACCATTGTGTGAAATATGTTTTTCTTGTGATAATCTGATGTGTGATGGGCATGGGCGTTCTCCAAATCCAGCTATTGTTGTATCAATTTGTATACCTAGTGAAAATGTTTGGATAAACTATGCTAACACAGAAGTTATCATAGATAATAGTAATCCAACATTTTTGAGAACTATATGGTTACAGTGCAGTGACGGATTAACTGAGGATTGTATCCTTCGAGTATCAGTCTATGATGTCCGAGAATGTATTTCTGGAACTGCTGTGAAAATGGGACATTGCGAAACAACACTTTGTTCGTTGTTGGAAACTACTCAATCGGGAAACAATGGACAACGTGTTCGTTTGCCTCTGTCATCACCAAGTATTAGATCCGATTTAGATAAAATTATTGGTTTTGTGTCCATGACGATTTGTCGCCCAGACAAACAGATTGGACATAACATGAGTACAGAGTCCACACCATGCAAATCATTAATGTATAATAATCATAACTTTCCTGTAAGTTATTTAAAAAAATATATTAACTTTAATATATTTATAGAATATACTTTTTAATTATTATAGATGGTAAACCATCGAAGAACACAATCATTACCTCCAAGACTTGGATCCAGATTACGTGTTCCATTACAGAACTATCTGTATTTATTATTTGATAATGTATCATTTGTGACTTATCGTTTTCATTCTGGCCTAAGGGGTGATATATCTGTTTATGAAATAATGGCAGAAAGCAAGTTATGCTTTTATTTACCACAACAGTTATTGTAAGCATTTAGATACTTTAATACTTATAAAAATTAAGTAGATAGCAAGTGAAAATTAATCTTTCTCTTAAATAGAAACATATGGATACTTGAAGAAAAGGAACTTTTACAAGAAGTATCAGGAATGGGTGAATTATCTGAACCTTGGCACTCAAAACAAGTAGAACTACTTGACCGACATTTGCAATTATTACATTTGTATTCACAAGCCAAACAAAATCTCGAAAATCAAAAGGGTAAATTTTAACATTTTTGAAGATTATTCAATATTTATCATCTATAATTAACTTTGAAAATATTTCAACCTTATTTATTTGTTAATTATTGTAATTATAATGTTTAGATGAATATTATGTTACTCTATACCTTAGAGATTATTAATTTATGGATATATATTTAGAATCTAAACAATTGTTTACTGTAAAAAAATGTAATTATAAATTTTTGTTAGGGGTTCATTTTAAACCAAGTTCGCGTAAAAATGATCGTTCTTTAGAGTTTGCACCAACAAACTTACATTTACAACGCATTTGGGTTCAAAATGATACTCTAAAAAAGAGTGGATTTTATGATACAATTACAGTTGGCGCATTTACAGCACATTCACATAAATCTAAAACTGGAGGATTGATAAAGTAAAATAAATTTCTAAGGGAATAGTAAATTTAATATTTATGTTTCTGATAATATATATATATATATTCTAGATTATTACAACAACTCAAAGAAGCACCTCTTAAAACAAACAGCCATGCCATGGCTAGTAGTAAAATAAATATGGCGTTTGATGCCATTCAAGCAATTAAACTTCTAAGACGAGAGGTGGTAGATGCAATGAAAAATTTGTTAAATTTAGCAAAAGACAAACAAACTGCAGGAATGATGCCAATTTGTAATGATATGATATCCAAAGTAATTATATTATTAAAAGACACATTAAAAACCTTTTTAATGTTTAGAATTATTTAATAATTCTTGTGTTGCTTAATAAGTTTAGCTTTATCAGTTACTTATAGTTATTCACTCCTTCCTGTTATATTTTATTATATGAAATGAATAATCCTATTGAACTAACATTTCTATACAATGTGCTCAACGATATTAAAATATATAATGTTAACATTTATTAATTTATAGACTCGTATTTTGCTAAGCCTTTGGGATCCAAAACTTGTTGAAGAAGCTTTAAATTTTATTGAAGAACATAAAGTGACACCCGTCTTATCAGATGACAACGAATCTATTAAAAATACTTCAAATTATCATGTATCTCCATTTAAACGTATAGCGAGCCAGATAAATTTTGATCTTCAATCACCAGATACCGAAGATTTATATACTCCGGAAAGCCCAAAATGTTTGAAGGATTTGATGAAGTTTGATTCAAAAGAAATCCAAGAAGAACATGATTTGAGTGGTAATGAAGACCAACAACAGTTTATTGTGTTTCCGGAATCTAAGGGCGAAATGGACTATAACCAAGAAGATGCAAACCATATTGCTGGTGTGTTTATGAATCATATTTAACATTATACCATATACCATATATTTTTGTACTGAAATATTATGAAAATATATTTAAAAGGAATATTTTTAGGTTCAAAAGAAAATTCACTACTGAATGAAAGCAGCAATGGTATGAAAACAGGTCAATTTTTGGACACATACTCAATGTGTAATTCACCGTCAGCCAACTACTATAAGCCAACTGAAGAACCAGAACCTTGGGAACTTACTCAGTTGAATATTGAAGCTAGTATTATGTGTCTTGTGAGCAAAGTAAAATTTTTGTGTGGCCGTTGCAATAGTCCAGCAGTGAGGTTAAGGTCTCAAAGAAGTCGTAGYTTTCGTTCAAATTCATTAACAAATCAGGTAAATGATTTTTACTTTGCAAAGTATTTATACATTTTATGTTTTCTTTATAATACACATTTTTATATAAAATAAAATTATAAAATATGCATACAATGTCTGATATACGCCAAAACTATTAATATTATTTAGTATTTATTATAACTTAAACATATTTTAGGCAACAAATTGTCATCAGCCTGTGAGCTTGGATTCTAAAATTACTCAAGTTGACAATAGTGATCCACATACAACAATTAATAACAAGTGAATATTTATTTTTAAATCTTTTATTTAGTCATAGGTAGAACAAAGAAATTTATTATTYTGTTTTCAGTGCACCTTCTAGAAACAAGTTTACAGAAGGACTTGATTTTAACCTTATGACTGATTGGGGTTCTGAATTAAAACCAAGTATGCGTAAACTTCGTCAAGCTATGGAYGGACTTTTAAAAACTGCTAGACTTACGCATAGTGTTTTTAGAGTACAAGAGGATAAACGGTCAGCTGAAAGGTCATGCAATGTTCGTTACCGTAGACATGTTTGTTTTTCACAAGCGGTAATTAAAATAAAGAATTTAAATTAATTTAAAGAACATTTGATTAAAATATTAATTTTGCTTTAGTTGACTGCTCTGGTTAGTGGTTTGATGGCGAGATTGTGGTGTCAAAAACCTGAACCTGAATTCTTGTATGTACTGTCTTCAATTGGTTGCTTAGCCTCTTTTGAATGTCTATTAAGTTACTATGGTAATGAGATCGACATGTGGGGTGACATGGTTGTTGCCATCGAAGATCTTGCCACTGTGAACTTCACCTTATTACCATTATCGCAAGCTGTTAGGTATTATTTATAAAATTATAAAAATAATGTATATTTTATAATTGGTATTATTTTTGTAGAGAAAATCCAAAAGACGAAATCATGCCACGAATTGTTGGTTCTAAGAATTCYTTATGTGTTTTATTACCAGTGCCTGATTTAATTCAATCTTTGTTGCCTTCGAAAAACATTGCTCCATTTCGGGTTACACCAGTTTTTTTTAATATGGGTATTAATGAAATGGCAACTATTGCAGAAAATCTTGGAAATACAAAACCACAGGATAGCAGCAATATTGACAATTTTGAAAGATTAAATGAATTCTGTTCAAGATACCGAAAACTTAATTTATCTAATAATGGTGATTGTGAGCGACAAGGAACTTCTGTAGCAGAACTAATGAGCACTTTAAAAGATTCATTACAAAGCAGTAAAAGTAAAAATGTAGAGATACTGCAAACAGCAGCTACAGTGTGTCGCCTTTTAAAAGGTAGAATATATAAAATATTGATTATATATTTTATGTACACGGGGTATGCAGGGTATGCGTTGCATATCCTGCGAGTAGTTGCTTGGGAACACATGAACAATTACTCAGTTCATAATTTTGACTGGTTAGTTAGTGTTTTATTAAATGGTATTGCGTTTTAAATATAGAGTTTGGACTTGTTTTTAATTTCATTATGGATGGTTCTCAATACTGAATAAGGAAATATTGGTTTTATTTTTTGAAATTATTGAAATTGACACAGAGGTTGTAATTGAAGAACTGAAAGTCCTTATACCAGGAAATAGAAGGCTTGAGTTATAACTATTATGTATGATGTYAATTATCATTTCAATAAACATGTTTGTAAAAAAAAATGCTTCTCATTAAATTAAAAAAAAAAAAATGCTTTTATTCAAAAAAGCATGAAAAACCTTTTTTTATTCTAATAAAAATTAGTAACCAGAAATTTAAGATGAAATGTCGTGTACATTAATTTTAGGGTTGTTTATATCTGTGGAGAGGGCCATATTTTATCAGCTGCATACCCTGCTAACAAAGTCTGCGTACGCCTTTGATGCAAATAAGTTATTAATGATTTCATTATTATTGTTTATGTTGCTTTTGTTTTAATTTGTGTTTCAATCTGAATAATTTTGAGATATAAGCTTTTATCTTAACTTAATAATTACTTTTAGGTTTAAGATTTACAAGCTGTAAAAGTGCCAAAGATCGAACAGGTATGTCTGTTACACTAGAACAGTGTTCTATTCTGAATTTGGAATATGGACTTGCAGAAAGTGAAATTCAAAGGGCATTAGATTGTATGAGAAGGTATATATAATTTTTTTAAATATTATAATAAAAAAAAATAGGTAAGAAAAACTTACGTTTGTCATAATATGCCATGTGAATATGTAATTTCTTTCAGTGAGGGGTGTAGGAGAGAAAATGCATACAAAAACACAGGTGTCAGAAAATATGCTTTTAACAGATTGCAACACTTTACCTTACCACAAATGTACAGACCTCCGGCAGGTACTTATGGATCAAGCCAAACTTAAATGGTTACCATGGTTGCTATACCATTTTGTTATTTATTTTATTTCATTTTATTTTATTGATTTTTCTTTCTTTCGATTGACTAACAAATTTTTTTTTAACTTAATAATGTTCCTATACTGAGACTGCTGTCTGATATACTTAAAACCTCTACAAATAATTTTCTTAATTAGAAAAAMTTCTCTTATCATCATTATTCATATTTATAATGAATTTTATCTTCAAGAAAAAGAATAACTACTATACTCTGTCCCACAAGAGAACCTGCCGAGAACAATGGGAGATGTCAGGGAACTTTGAACACGTGGAGGGGATTTGACGAGCTCATTTTAAATTTGCAAGCCTGGCATAGTTTCTCGTGGGCATAGGCGGAAATGGAGAGGGGCTTAGCTCTAAATATTGTAATAGCCCCCCCCCCAAAAAAAAAAAAAAATGTCAGGTTTCATGTAAAATGTGATTTTATTTGACTATAGTTTTTTTTTAGTTAATTTAGCCCCCTCAGAAATTTCTTTGGATTTCCGCCTATGCTTGTGTGACATAGTATAATTATTTTTCTTCATTGGTTTTGTGGTTAGATTGAATTAAAGAAATACAGTAGCCGCCTCTTATTTTAAATGAATCAGACAAAGAGGTTTTTTCTGGATTAAGCAAATTAACAATAGCGGTTGATTTTGTCCTTGATATATAGATATATGGTAGTTTGTTTTGTCCAGTTAAAGATTAAATGGTACATTCTGTATTAGTTATTAAATTGCGAAGTAAATTATCATTACGCGTTAAATACTTATTGAACATTAATCTGGTTCTATGATAGTATGACTGAATGCTAATTTAGTCTGATATTCACATAGGATTATGAAGCATATTATTTGATTATTGGAAAACTTTTTGGGAGGGGTTATACTCATAAAAAAATTAATTAACAGAAAAAAAGATCTTCACTTTGAAATATTTGATTTTTACAAATATTTAGGGAGGAGGGGAGTCACAACTCCCTAATCCCTCTCTGGTTGCACCATTGCTTATCATATATTTGTATTATGTGCTGGGTTGCATGAACAATGAACATCACTAAACATTTTACAAAACAATTGTAAGCAAATTGTCCCTTGAACATGATTTAGCGCTTCAAAATTAGTCCATTTCATTTTATTGAACCATTAAATCAATAAAGTTTCCATGTAAACTGAATTCAATATATACAAAAATAGGTTTATACGACAATTGATATTATTTGATCCTGTATTATAGTAGATAATATCAAACAATTTTGAATTTTTATATTTGAATTTAAAAAAATAATCATAATATTTTAGATTTATTGTATTTAACAGTTAATTAAAAAGTGTATCTGCTTTAATTACCTTATATCAATTATCAATATTATTTATCTATTTTTTAAGACACTATGTGTGCCAAGCTAAGGTAAATAGTTGTTAATCATTAATCAATTAAATTAATRTTTCTTATTTACAGTTAAACTTAAAATTTTTTAATATTATATGGGGTTGGTCTCCCTGTTATTGATATTAAATCATAGATTCTCTTTCATCTATGGGTAAAATTATGTTGCTCAAAATGTACAACAGAACCTTGAAATTATAGTATACTATTTATAATATTTACTTACCTACTTTTAAGTTATTTGTGTATTTAATTTTCATTCAAGGTATAACTTAACATTGTATATGCCCAACATACAATATACAATTTTATGTTATTGATAGTTATTTCTAAATTTATAACCATTATGTTTTTTAGATTTTATTGTTAACTAACTTTTGTTTTTATTCTGCACATCTTTATTTTAAAAATGATAGCTGGAAATGTTACCACCATCAACTRAGTGATTTAAAAATGTTCAACAAATTTATTATTTGTTATGCAATTAATTTTTATTTATTTGAGTTATTACTTTAAAATTAGTTTTTTTTATCTATTCTTGTTATATATGTATTTTTTTTTTAATAAAAAACTTATGTCATCACATAAATTGAAGAATTTTTTGTATTATGATTGTATTAGTAAGTTTGGGCTTACCTTTATGTATTATGATATCTGACATAATATTGWATTTGTTGCGTTGTATCAAATTATATTGTAAATGGTCTTATGATCTGATATGCAATTTAATTGTTTTAGATGACTTAGAGTTTATTATTAAATAGTGATTCCAAACATTGTGTAAGTATAATATAAATCATAATGTACAATTCGTATATTTTGTATTACTATTACATTTTGTCTAATACCATTTTGTTTTTAATTACYAATTATTACTGTATTTAGAATATTATGTTTTATATTTAAAGTAATATAAATTATTTATTAATAGTTGATGRCCCATTAACTATCTGCTATCATCTACTATTTTGGATATTAGATAATAATCTGTTTTAGCTATCTTACATACAGTATACTTAACTAATCCTTAAACTCTCAGTCTGTTATAGTGTTATTTTTAAWTTGTTTTATAATGATGAATTTAATTTCTACTGTAAAATATATTTGTCCAACATTAATTTATGGTGGACAAATAAATAGCAAACTAAAATAATGCAATTTAGTAATAAAAATTACAGAATTTTATAATGCTGATACATTTTTTAATTTACAAGTTAAATCAGCCTTACATTCTTCYTGTGGTAAGAATATTTTAAACTATTTATTTTTATCACTTCAAACAAATTTTCAATAAGTTTATTATTAATTCATTTACAGAAATATCTTCCTTTTTTCTATAGAATTATCAAGTATGTTTTATCTGCTTGCAATAATTATATTCATTTTTTTTTATTAGTTACAAAAATAAGCCAATATTAATATCATCTTCATATTGTATAAAACAGTAAGTAAAACATTTGGTAAAGAAAAAAAACATGTGCAATTATGAAAATATATCAAATTTACAAATAAATTAATTTTATAAATACATTTAAAAAAATTAACAATAGTGGCCACTTCTTAAAACCACAATTCTCCTAAATCACCTTCAGTTTTAATATCCAAGCTGTCATCATGAGGACTGTCTTCATCCGAATCGCTGATTTCCAAATCATCTTGGATATTAGCACTGGCATGGTTTTTAATACTTGACTCTGAGAGATCTTTTTCATCACTTGTGTCTAGATTACGACTACCTGTAGGTAGGAAGTCTGAAGGATCATAATTTGGGTCGAGGTCCATACTTTCGTCAGCTATTAAAAAAACAAAAATTATACGCTGTTAGATTAGTATGATATTCGTATTTCACCTTGGATATGATTGGAGAAATTTTCAGGAGCAGGATTGTATCCCATGTTACCGAGCAAAACCATGGCTTCTGCAACTTGTTGACTGTCGTCATCAGGCGGATTTTCTCCAACAACTTCCATRAAATCATCTTCTTCACTCGAACAATGTAAATCTAAAAAAAAAAATTATAACAAAATTTAAAACCATATAATATAAATTTTTTTTTTTTTTTGAAAAAATTACCATCTTCTAATATATGATTAGTTTCTGTTTTGAAGTTGCTATCTGGATCCATTTGGAATTCTATGTCTTCAATGTTCACTTTGTGTTCTCTCGGTGAATTTAAATTCTAAAAATTTTTTATTTTACTTAGAATGTCAACAGAAWTTTTTTTGAAATTATTGATACAAACAAAATATTTTGTTTTACATAAATATCATAAATATGTACTAAATAATAAGGTAACAAAACATACATCTTCAACATCTTGCATATCTGAATAATCATCCTCTGCGGCAGAATCCATTTCTACCTGTTCTAGAGCTCGTGCCTGAACTAAACTGATATTTTGTTCTACTTGAGTCAGGTATTGATCAAACTGAAGTTTATATGGAAATTATTAGTCTGTCTTAACATTTATTGTTTAAATTACTTACCTCTTCTAATGATTCTGTGGCTACACTTATTAATTTTTTTGCTTGTTGTGTAAATTCAGAATCTTCGCCATTATATGCGACACTGTTTTCATAAATTAAATTTATGTCTCCCAAAAATTCCTTACGGTTATGATATTTATGACCTGAAAAAAATAAATATGTAACATATGACGTTATAAAAATGATTTAGTGTATTGTACATAACCACTAAAGCAGGGGCAGATATTGGTGGCTTAGAGCAGAATTTTTTATAATATAATTTTWGGTCAATTATGTATTAAATCTTTAAAATATATTACTACTGAAARTTTTCAACCTATACTTAATATTTGTAGTAAAATTAGCCAAAAGGTGGGTCAGTTGCCCACTCTGCATTTCTTGAGCACACATTTATGTAGATAACATCATAAAACCAAGTTCTAATATTTTCAAATTATTAATAACCCAACTAAAGTATTTTAGTAATTACTAATTATGGTAATATACTAAGTAGTAAATATTTTAATTGAACATGTAATTATGTTAATATTTATAATAAATAATAAGGATCAATATGAAACAGTTTCATGATGTACCTATCATAGTATGAGAATATAGAAAATACTTWTATTTTAAATTRTTGTGAATGCTWACTACATATTATGGTATTATTAAATTGTTCACCTTCCTCTAAATGTATAACATAGGAAATTATATATTCTGAACATAAAAATTACAAAAGCCCTTAATTTACTGGAATAAATTAGTTTATTATATGCCATATAATTTGAAAAAAATACATTAAATTTATAAATTTTATAATTTTCTGAATCTTATATTTTATTTGGCTATTCAATGATCCTAGTATGACATAATATAAATATTTTAATGTGTGAGATTTTCCCTCTATAAAAGCTACTTTTTTTTTTTATCTTTCTGGTTGTGTTCCACATTTTGCAAGTACACATTGTGTCTTTTAAATATTTAGCTTATTGTTCTTTTAGTAGAAACTACCCCATTAACTTAGAGAGAAAATTGAAGCATTTATATTCTCGATGTTAGTTAAAATATTACTGTATAATAAATATTAATAATCAATAAGTGTAGAACTCACTAGAAACACGCGAAGCGATGGTTTCTAAATCAATTGGTTGTTTAATGACATTGTAATAATCCTTGACTAATTTACGATTGACTGGCTTCATGAATGGCCATGCTTCACTCATAGTCTTCACTTTACCAACAACATTATCCAAAATAAATGTTAAAGCCACTTGGTCATTATCATCCAATAGTGGATTGATTGCTTTCTCCAGTAACATGAGTCGTTCTTCTTTTTCATGTAGACGATCTACACAAACACCCAACATACGTCGAGCAGCAACTGTTAATGAACTCTTGGCACCTAAAAAGTATTTGCATTTAATTTAGGTAAGTATGATYAAAAAAAAATYGTACTGTCATTATTTATTCACCATTATACAAAGTAGAATTTTCAACAATTTGATTGACATCGGAAAGAAATTCTTCACGGTTCTGATATTTTTTCAAATGAAGTCCATCTCTAATAGATTGTAAATCCATTGGTCTCTGTACTATATTGTAGTAATCAGGCACCTTCTGTAAAATTCAATTTTTAGGTGAGCTAAACAGATGAATTAATTAGATAACTAATAATAACAAGTTATTTTACCTTGACATTAACTGGATAAATAAATGGATGCACATCGGGCATACCACGCATTTCATTTAATATAGATTCAAATATTGAGGATAAAACAATTAATGGGTCAGTACGGCGTCTGTTGGCAGAACGATCGGGTTTCTTTAAATAATCACAGTGCAGTTCATTCTTACGTTTTTTGTTGCGTGATAATGCATCTTTAGGTACTTTCAAAACTAGTGATCTCCTTTTCACTTCTTCAGCATGCTAATAAACAAAGAAAATGTATATCCATATACAGTACATAATTAAAGTATGGGTACATGCTAATTTATCGTGAAAAACAAACCTTGAGGAGTTTACTGGATAATGTGACTTTTGTACCATCTACATTAACCAAATCTTCGTCCTCTACGTTCATTTGTTTTTCAATTTCTTCTTCTTGTTCTTCAGTAAGTGCAACATTAACTGATGCGTTAGGATTTAGATTGTACTGTGGACAGGCTTTATTTGTTCTCATGTGACCAACATTACCACATGCTCCACATCTGACTTTTAAGTCAGGTTTCATTTTACTGGGCTTTGGTTTACGTGGTCTTGGCGGGGTGGCTTCCATGCGTGGCTTAGGTATTGTAACTGTGCCGGAAGTGGGCATTGGTACATCATTACTCAAAGAATTGCTCTTGTTGACCATGGAGTAACCAAAACCTTAA